GTCGATGATTGTCAAAGAATGTCGAACGATGTTGGCAGAGACGGTGCCACTGATAAAGCTTCTGACCACGAATTTCAAGAGCTGTAATTTTCAAAGCTCACAATTCCAAATGTGTGGTCGGAAATTTTCCTGCAGTGTGTTAAAGACTTATTTCTTTATGACGTGTTGGAAGCAGACCCTGTCGAACATAGCAATGTAGCATTGAAAAAATTCATTCAGATTAAGAAGCAAGCTGCTGAAAGTGCTGCAACCGCCGAAGTTCTCATCAGAGGAAAGAAGTGGCGCCAAGAGGAAATCGTAGCACAAGAGGAGGCAGAGCTGCTGATATACAGTGTGAGCAAGTTGACTTTGTGCGCCGGCGTGGGAATTGAGCCTTTAGCTGGCAAATCACCGTCCTTTAATGGGGTGTCCTTTTCTAAGAACTGCACGTTTCTAGTAAATAACCCCAGTGCTTGTGTTCACTGTCAATATCAGAGAAAGCTGATACTCAACCAGCTTCCAGAAGATGATATCAGAAAATATTTATGAAAGAAAGTCCTTGCAATATACGGCATAACCTTTGGAGAAGGAAACCCAAGCTTAGCAGCGCAAAAATTAGCTTGAGTCAAATGAAAGCAAAAAATGAGCAGTTATCTAAAAAAGCAGTAGCTGAAAGAATTAGAGGCCTTTCCTAGAAGCAGCAAGCAGCTGTCAAACATGTTTTGAAGCAGCTCAGAGAAAGTAAAAGAAAAAAGGAATGCAGTATGAAAATGAATGGCTTCTCAAATGTGTGCTGATGTGCATGTGAAGCCCAAAGTTGTAAGAATACATGAGAAAACACGAACCTCTGGCTTTACCAGGCCGCACTTGTCTAAAAAGAGCAATTCAGCATTTTCAAAGTGGCTTTGGGTTTAACCCAAAAGTTTTTAAAGCTCTGCAAAAAAAAAAAAAAAAACGAAGGACATGGACGAGCACAGCCGGCATGGCATGATAGTATTCGACGAAGTGAAGCTGTCTGAACACATTGATGTCAAGCATTCTGGTAAGCGCAGTTAAACTGTTCCATTATTTTTATTCGGATGGTTGATGTATTCTACAATTTACCTTATGTGCTGTTACATTCTGCATGTTCATCTTCTCAACGTGCATCTTTACCTCATAGAGGCTGCACAGAAGGATTTGTTGATCAGGGTAAGAAATGGATTTGTTGATCAGGGTTAGAAATGTTGATCAGAATTAGATTGTTTTTAGGTACTGGGTTTAACACTTCAGTGGGACGAGTCAAGGCTGATTACATCAAGGAAGCGTGGAAACCAGATAATGATAGTGTAACCTTGAAAGTAATGCCACATGTTACGAGGATGCATTTTTTTCCCAATAGTTTCAAGAAACAGCGAGTAGGGCCACAACTCCCTTCTTTTTAATGATGAGGGATTGAAAGGGCTGTTTTTCTACTGAAAAAAAAATTGACGGGCTCTATGGCCCAACGCATGTAACGGAAGCTCTCATTTTGAGATTTTTCAAATTAATCAAAATAATGACACCACGTGTGCCATCAACAGCCTTCAGACCAGAATCTTTCAAAGCTGACTTTTTAATAGAATTTCTGGCATTTCTTAACGAATGGAAGGTACACTCTCATAGCTCAAAACATGGATTTTTGAGCAGCAGCACAGCCAAAGGTCAATGGGTTACCATTCGTTCAACTCTGAACATCGCCAAGTATCTTAGACCACAATGCAGTTTCCTTTATCTTCTAACCTATAGGCTCAGTCAGGACAAATTTGAAAACTTGTTTGGGATTGTGTGAGAATGAAACGGCTGCAATGACCACCTGACCACCTGACCAATTCTTAGTCACTGTGAATGCATTGGCCTTTTATGGCATAGCACAGCCACCAAAGTGAGGAAACTGTAGCCTGGCAGTTCTCAATTCATTAGTAGACTATTGCGATGCCAGATCAAGCGGCGATCGGCCAAATCCCATTAATGTACTTGACTCTTTTGTAGACAACGGAAAGCTTGACTACGGTGAAAATGTTTTGAATTTTTTTCCACCTGAAGATCGTAGTAGGGTTATCACTCACCACAGTTCGAGCTGCCTAAAAAATTATGTGGCAGACTTTATAGCAAAAAAAGTTGCCAGAAAACTGCTTGTAGTATGTGCAATGGGCTCTTGACAATGAGCGAAGAGCAGGCCCATTCATATACCAATAGTGACTTTAAAAGACATAGTGATTATGGTGGTCTCCTGTACCCGTATTCTCGACTTGTCAGTGCTTTAGAAGAGTCATTCACCATTTTTTTCAGTTCAAAGAAAATGAACGCAGAAAGCATGCAAGACTTCGCCATGTTCCTCAAAAGCGTTGACCTGCCAAAGCTAGGGTGAGACACACATCACAAAGAGCTGACACCGATTATAGTCAAATTTTATGTACTTCTTAGTTTTCGATTCTATGCGAAGTCATTGAACAAGAAGCACAGCTCTAAGAGAGAACACGTGAAACACCTGAAGCTTAAGCGATGTAATTGAGCAATTTTCTTGACAGGTGCGGTTGAACATGTATCACTTCTAGGTTTCTACATGGGAAACCACAGTATTACTAGTTTGATAAGTTGGTGCCTATTTGTGTAGATATTTTAGTTTAAATAAAGAAGCAGCTGGTCTGAAAAAATATTGTATTAGAAATAAAGTTCAGACTTATGTTTGTCATACTTGTATCTTGTGTTGTGTGCTACTTGTCACACAAAAAAAATAATAAGCAAATGCATTCGATTGAAGCTTCCCGACCATTTATTATGCAAAGCAATATAAAAGATATAAAACACACAGGACCAAACACAGACATTTGTATGCATTAAAAATAGATGTTTAAGCTCTATAAGTTCGCACACTGAAATCCACCCAATACTGTTTGAAATGTAACGAGGGCAGTGGGCATGGAGCTCGAGTATAGAAAAGGAAGAAGACTTGCTGTGATCGCAGGCTTGCGTTCAGTTAGCCCTTGCTGAAACTACAGCAAGGCCTACGCTGCCCTCGTTACAGTGGGGTTGAAGCCCACTGCCCTCGTTACAGAAAGTACATCATTACTATATAAAATTTATCAAATTCAAAAAGAAACAACCTTGGGCGGTGTAAATGACCTCATCGAATTGTGGTCGGGTGTTTTTGTATACGCTCGCTATAGCAAGAGAATGGCTAGTGCCTATGCGGAAGGGCTAAGTTTCATCATTAAGTGGCATTTATTGCATAAAAAGCCACGACGAAAACTTGAAATGATACACCCTTTGGCCACACAGCCTTCACGGCAGCGAGCATGGTGCTTCTTTGGCCAGCAGCGCCCTCTAGCGGTGCACGGAGCGGTCATCACTGGAAAGATCCTCTTTCCGGCACCGCACGGCACACTTCCCCTTCTAGTACACTGTACTCACGTGCAGGCTCATGCTCAGCAAGCATGAGCCTTTACAACCAAGATAGCCAACCACGAGACACCAAGAGTTACATATTTCGCTGACTGAACTTCCTGCATAGCTTTAACAGCATTGCACCTGATGTTTGAAATGAAGTGCAATGCCTCCACATTGCCATTGTTTGCAGGTTATCGGAATTACTGGCCGGAATAAACAATAACTGTAGAGACAAAGAGGCATACAATGATTCCAAATGCTAAAGAAACCATGAAACCAAGCAAAAATGTTGTACTGTGTAAGAGGCCAGAAGTGTTCAATGCCATGTTGTGATTGACCATCCAGACCGGACTTGACACAGGGGTGGAGACTACTGTGAAAACAGCCACAATGGTTTGCAAGTATTGCTACAGTAAATATTAACTCCCTGGCAAACTGTGTCACTGCTATACACAAAAATGTTTCCATAAGCACTAGAACCATTAATAAGGTACCATTCTGTCTGGACAACCTTTCTGTTGTTGACGATCTGTGCATGAGGCTACCCCTTGTAAACAAAGGTGAAGAGATGCCCCACTTCCTTTACAAGATGCTTGCCAAAAAGGAGAGGCATACTCATAGGTTAAGTGTCATCCCAGAATGAACTCTTCGTTGGTAAATGTTTTCCAGCCCAAAGGTAGTTCAAATGCCAAAGTGTCAGGTGTATTCAAAACAACCAAAGACTGCTACAGCAAAAGTCCAAGAAACTAACCGTTTTCAATGCTGCCTTTGCACTTCTGTAGCTAAGAGCAATTTCCTTTACTAAAAACAGCTTTGAAAACAGCATTTGAACAGCCTGCAAAATCACAGCCTACAAAATATGAAGTTAATCTAGTTTTGTTTGAAATATTGTCGCTATTTAGAAGTCACTCTGATTTTAAATACCTTGTGAACCCTGTCTCACATTTACAGTAATGCTTCCAGTTGATTTGGTTATCCTTAATTGGATACATTTTTTTTAAACTTTGGAACATTCGCTTCCATCACCCATCCTAAAAACGAAACTTGCAACTAAGGACCATTGTTAAATGACTGCTGCAATTGTAAGTCACAGGTTCGGATCTTGCCAGTGACAAGTTTTCGTTTTGTCCGCTGTACTTTCTTCACACTTACATTACAAGTACTTTTAATAACAACCCCTATACTTTACTTGGCATCATTGTCTGTTAGTTATCAATAATATTGTGTCTAACAAAGAAAACGAGCCCATAAATTACACTATTTTGCTACTGTAAAAGTTATTTTAGATAAAAAAACATAGGCTTTGGAGCATACAAATTTTGTCCGACCAAGCTAGAGCTAACAAACCTGCACTAAGACTCCACTTGAAAAAAAAAAAAAAAAAGCTTTTCCCCGGGGAATTTTTCAGACTGAATGATCACCTAGTTGCACAGGAAATTAATTTATTGTGTGAATATGACTACATGGAAGCCACTCATGCCTAAAGCATACAGCCCTAGGGTTGTTTCATATGCAGTAATAAAGCATGCAACAAGTACGGAAACTGCAAGCCACAATCAAAATTATTCATCAGCTAATAATTCTGCAGTAAAATATGAATGTTTCATACATACCTAAAATCTTTTCCACTCTGTCCAGGCACTGCCTTGCAACAGAAATTACTTTTTTCGCATTATTCACTGGCACAGGCGTCTCTGGTATGCCTACTCCAGAAGAAACGAAGAAAAAGGAAAAAAACTTGCACAAAATTCAGAGGAATAACAAAGTGTAAGAATAGGAAGCTAATAGCCTGTCCATTGATTTTTCGCAAGGGTACACAATTACTCAAGTTGGGTTATAAGAATCATTTATTTGCAAGATGAGGTGACCAAAAATGTCTAGAAAACAATCACCATAATGAGATGCTTACTGAAAGAAACTGGGAGCTCTTACAACTGTCAAGCTACTTATTAACCAGACAAACTATAGCTACAAATTTCTTAACTATGACTCTGCTGTTCTTGACTGTGTTCTATTTCAACTGATATATATGCTAACACTATAGCAAACCATCACATACAGTGGAATTCTACTGTTACATTTCTTGAAAGGCCACAGAAAAAGAATGCCCAGTCCACAAAAAATGACACGATCATGCCTTTGAAAACATTAAAGATCAAGTTGGCAGTTATTTTTACATAAAACTTTATAAGAAGTTGAATTGAAACCTAACAAATTACTGAAAACATGTGAAATAAATTGATACTGGCTGCCTGGCACTTAGACTGAATGTTATTAAACTGTTTTTTGAGCACCTGTATTCATAAAATACACAACAAAGCTTCTGATTTCCAGTTGGCACTTGGCTTATATGTCCACAATAACAGCATCTCTGAGAGCATTTATAGGGGGCATGCACTTAGCCTTGATCTGCAAGGGGGCAACACTATTGCCATGATATTTTGAATGGTCCATTCGTACACATGTCCTGTTGTCTGTGCTTTGGCATGTAGGAAGTGTTCTGGAGGTCCCTAGACATCCAAGTTGCCATACGGATCTTAGACACAGCGCACGCAGAGAGTTTATTGCACGTGAAGCAAGCGGGCTGACCTCGAAAATGGCCACCCCAATGCAAGGGTACACAATTACTGATGTCAAGCGCATTATCATATCATGAGCCTGACTATACCCACTGAAGAGCAAAGGTCTCTCTCATGATCTGCCAAACAACCCGGTCGTGCTTTCTGCTACCACTTTATACCTGCGAACTATTTAATCTCACCGGCTCACCTAACTTTCTGTCTACCCTTCGTGCATTTGCCTTCTCCAAGAATCCAGTCAGTTACTCTTAACAACCAGCAGTTATCCTGCCTACGTGATACATGCCGGGCCCATGTCCATTTCTTCTTTTTGATTTCAAATATCATATCCTTAACATCAATTCGTTCCCTGACCCACTCTGCTCTCTTCTGGTCCCTTAAGATTACACCAATCATTTCCCTTTTCATCGCTCGATGCGTCATCTTCAATTTAAGCTGAACCTTCTTTGTAAGCCTTCAGGTTTCTGCTTTGTAGGTAAGTACTGGCAAGATGCAGTTGTTATATACCTTCGTCTTGAAGGTTAGTGGCAGATTACAATTCACAATTTGAGAATGCTTGCCAAATGTGTCCCACCCCATCCTTATGCTTCTAGTTATTTCACTCTCATGGTTTGGCTCCGCGGTTACTACCTGTGTAGGCATATTCCTTTACAACTTCCAGCGTCTCTCCACCTATCGCAAAGTGCTGTTTTCTATCAAGACTGTTGCACATTGCTTTAGTTTTGTGCATATTCATTTTCAGACCTACTTTTCTGCTTTCGGTGTCCAGTTCAGTGATCATGAGGTGTAATTTGTCCCCCGAGTTACTCATCAAGGCAATGTCGTCAGCGAATCGCAGGTTATTAAGATACTCTCCATTGACTCTTATCCCTGACTTTTCCAAATCTAGGGCCCTGAAAAGCTCCTGTAAACACGCGGTGAATAGCACTGGAGAGATGGTGTCACCCTGTCCTACACCATTCTTTATTGGGATTCTGTCGCTCTCTTTATGGAGAACTATGGTGGCTGTGGAGCCACTGTGGATTTCTTCCACTATGTTTAAATAGGGTTCGTCGATGCCCTTATTCCGTAGTGCTTGCATTACTGCTGAAGACTCGATTTAGACAAATGCCTTCTTATATTCTATTAAAGCTATGTATAGGGGTTGGTTGCATTCCATGCATTTCTCTATTACCCGATTGATAGTATGAATATGGTCTATTGTGGAGTAGCTTATATGAAATCCTGCTTAGTCCTTTGGTTGATTAAACTCTAATGTCGCCTTAATTCTATTAGCTATTATTTTTGCAATTAGTTTGTACAGAATAAAAACTAAGCTGATCGGCCTGTAATTTTTCAAACCCTTGACGTCTCCTTTTTTATGGATTAATATGATGTTGACATTTTTCCAAAATTCTGGTACCCTTCCCATCAAGAGACACTTCATATATAAGGTGGCCAGTTTTTCTAACACAAAATTCTCTGCCATTCTTCAGCAGGTCCGTTGTTACCTTATCTTCACCAGCTCTTTGCTCCTATCGCCCCGCCGCGGTGGTCTAGTGGCTAAGGTACTCGGCTGCTGACCCGCAGGGCGCGGGTTCGAATCCCGGCTGCGGCGGCTGCATTTCCGATGGAGGCGGAAATGTTGTAGGCCCGTGTGCTCAGATTTGGGTGCACGTTAAAGAACCCCAGGTGGTCTAAATTTCCAGAGCCCTCCACTACGGCGTCTCTCATAATCATATATAGTGGTTTTGGGACGTTAAGCCCCACATATCAATCATCTTTGCTCCTATGTATTCCTTCTAGAGCTCTTCTTACTTCTTACGATATCATCCTGGTTGTTTTGGCTTCTGTACAGCTCTCTGTAGAGCTCCTCTGTCATCTCAACTATCCTATTCATATTGGCTATGGCGTCGCCTTTCTTGTCCCTTGATGCATACAGCTGATTTTTGCCTATGCACAAGTCTTCCTCCACAGCTTTTAGGCTTTTGCCGCTTTTTACAGCCTGCTCTATTCTCTCCATGTTATACCTTCTGATGTTGGCTACCTTATGCCTATTGATTAACTTCGAAAGCTCCACTAGTATATTTTGTCGGTTGCACTTTAGGCTTTCATGGTTTGTCGTGTCACAATGAGATTTTTCGTCTCCCGAGATAGTTTACGAGTTTCCCGTCTAGAGATTATATCTCTGACTTCCATTGCACACTCTTTGATGATACTAATAAGATTATCGTTCATTGTGTCAACGCTAATGTCGGTTACCTCATTTAGAGCCTCGAATCTATTCTGAAGCGAAACTCTGAATTCCTGTGCTTTCCCTCTCACTGCTACCTCATTAATTGGCTTCTTGCATATCAGTTTATGCTTTTGCTCTTTAAATTTAGGTGAATACGAGCTCTTACCATTCTGTGGTCACTGCATGAAATCTTGCCAACTACTTTTACATATTGTACAATGCATGAGTATGCACACAGAATAAAGTCGACTTCATTTTTACTTTTGCCATTAGGACTTTGTCACATCTACTTACCGATAGCTCATTTTCTGAAGAAAGTATTCAATATTCGTAAGTTATTACATTCTGCAAAATCTATTGATAACTACCCGCTGGCATTTCTAGAGCCGATGCCATATTCCCCCACTGCATGATCTCCGGCCTGTTTCTTGCCTACTTTGGCATTAAAGTTGCCAATCAGAGCAGTATACAGTGTCTTTACTTTATTAATGGCTGATTATACGTCTTCATAGAAGTGTTCAATCAAATGATCATCATAGCTTGATATAGGCGAGTAGGCCTGTACCATTTTCATCTTGTATCTTTTGTTAAACTTAATTATGATACTTGCCAGCCTCTCACTGATGCTATAGTATTCCTATATGTTGCCAGTGATATTCTTGTGTGTAAGAAACCGCACCCCTGGTTTTTTTTTGCTGTCAACTAATCCACAGTAGCATAGGACGTATCCATTTTTCATCACTGTATAGGCCTCACAGGGAGACAGAAAGTTAGGTGGGCAGATGAGATTAAGAAGTTTGCGGGTATAAATTGGCAGCAGCAAGCACAGGACCGGGTTAACTGGCCGAACATGGGAGAGGCCTTTGTCCTGCAGTAGACGTAGTCAGGCTGATGATGATGATGATAAGCCTCGCGTGTCCTCCTAATTTCGTTGGGCCCTATTACATTCCATTTACCACCCTCTAATTCCTGGAATAGCAGAGCTAGACTAGCATAAATAGATAGCATTCTAGCATTGAACGTAGCCAAGTTCAGATTACAATGGCGGCCTGTCCGGACCCAGAGATTCTTAGCACCCTTTGCTGCATCGTTGGTCTGAGCGCCGCCTTGGACAGCTGTTTCGCAGCCGCTGGGTATTGAGGGCCAAGGGTTAATTGGCACATTCATAAGGAAGATAGTGGCCTAGTACTGCACTACAGTGGCTTGTTCTGGTGAGGGAGTGCATTACTGGGCATCACCGGCAGGTGGTCGCCAGTGAGGCTGCACCCCAGACCTCTTTTTTTTTAAACAATTTCTTCATCACGCCTTTTAAGTAAACATACAATTGGGAATGGTCCGGCATCTGCATTTGAACTGAATTGCATCATTGCATGCTAGGCTACTGCGCTAGCTCTAGGTAGAGACTGCTGTTGCACTTTATTAGCACTGTAGAATGCCACCTGACTGCTTATCAGCTCTCAACTTGACATGACTCGTAGCTCGCCTGGCCTTTTCTTAAGTTTTTACTGTTCGAAAGTCAACTTTTTCTTTAAAAAAAGAAAGAAAAAAAAAACTACCCGGCACAGTTTCGAACTTCTGACCTTATGAGCTTATGCTGGCTTAGCACCTTGAATGATCCTCCATCTCATATGTTTATTTTCTCCCAACTTCTCACTGTCTCACTCTACTTTGATAGTGTTGGCTTAAAAGTGTCCGAAATGTCAAAGTTTTGTCAATTTCGAGTGATCACACTCCTACTTTGACGTGTCCTGTCAACTGACGAGTTGCACGTTCCTGGTTCGCGATCTGATCGGCTACTTCTATGTCATTGCTACATTAAGCGTAATTGTCACGGACAGTTGGAGTGCATGAAGAGTAAACAGCAAAAGTCTCTAATTGCTAAAAAATAGACTGGCGCTGCCATTAAAGCTGTGCCCTCTTTTCTTGGCATTTCGCAGTAGTAATTAAACTCTCGTAAATAGATATAATAGAAGACAGTGGTCCTCAGTCAGGAGTTAGATATACGTACTAGTAATTAGATCTACAGCTAGCCTAATAACATAGAATAGCCGATGTAAAGGTGAGAAACAAATTATTTCAAATTCTAGAGAGTGGTGAAAGCTAAGAAAATTCGTACGAAAGTAATTACAGGTTTGCATCACTCACCACATAGCGTCAGACAGAACTGACAGACCCTGACGACTCTCGGCACCACACACATAGACAACGCTAAGCCCGGGTGCGACACGTTTTAGTTCATAAGTGCTTCTAGGAGCCATGTCAAGTGCACCTTTTATAATACAGAAGTAATTGCGCAAGGAAGCAAGCATCATGACAGTGCCTGCAAATTTGGGTGTGAAGTGTCTACTTGTGACTTCATCTACAATTCTATTCACTTCTGATGTTTCGGGTCATCTGGAGATTACTGTCAATGTCCAACAGGTGCTATAAGTTGACTGTTTTCAGTACCAACCCAGATGCTGTGGTTGAGCAGTTCACTGCCGCAGTTTTTAGATGTAACAACCGGGAAGGAAAACGTAACAAGTTCTTGTGAGAAATCTTCTCCGGAATGTATGAAAAAGGTTTCACTGCATCCTGTCGCCTCTCTTTCTTATACACTATCTGCACGTTTGAAACCTAAATTCATACTGCTTTTTGCTTGTACAGTAAAATATCGCCAAGTCGAAGTGACTGGGGCCACGAGAAAACTTCGAAATAAGCGGGTTTTTGAATTAACAGAACATACAAAAAGTAGGATGCAAGGAACTTAGAACTATTCAAAGTAATCTGTGCTCGTCGGTGTTCGGCTAGCTTGCGGCTCCAAAAGCTATGTTTTTCAGCAATACCTGGTCTTTATTTTTTCCGCGAACATGGAGGACCGATGGGCCTCGCTACTGCCACCGAAAAGAAAAAAAAAAAACGCGGTAGTAACTGAAATGTGCGCCTGCAGAAAACAAAACATTTTCACTGTAACACAGTAGTGACATGCGGACAGCATATCGCCTGCTCCTCGCTGCGTCGGCGTGTCATGACGTGACGATTCGCACATTATTTCTATTATAATTATAAATTTAATAATGGCCAGCATGACGAAGCTCACGATGTGTTTTGGCTGGAAAAAGTTATCTTTGAAACTTTCGAACCTAGTTTTCAAAGTAAATGTTGCTGGCGAGAACTCCACTAGCAGTGCAAAAACGCAAATTGCTGGAGCAAACGGCAATTTAGCGGAAATCGCACACATCACAATTTTCACTAAACTGTCCTTTAATAATTTCTTTACAATCCCAGAAAGAATGAGTAAACCATGACCTGCTGACATTGCGAGAAACATGCAATAAGCTGCCCGCGTGTCACCACTGTAGTTCAGTGAAGCATAGCTCATTTTTCGCAGGCGCACGTTTTGGTTTACCACGAGACCGTTTTCTCTCTCTCTCTCTCTTGTGCTGGAAGTAGCGAGACTGGTGAGGTTAAGCTTTAGCTGCCACTTCTTGGTATCGATACGTTGCATAGCCTTGTGGCAATTAATGGCCGTCGTTTCCGCAGATTCGCGGCAAAATTGGGATTTGGAACTGGCACATGGCACTCAAAGTTGTCGAATTAACCGGACTGGTGCCGGCCTCCGCTTCAAATTATCCACTCAAACTTACATTGCAAAATACGGAACAGCGTAAATCCTTGGAATTAAGTGGGATTTCGAAATAACTGAGTTCGAATTAGCGGGGTTTTACTGTATCACGAATCACACTAGGTTCACATTGCTCCTACCAGTTTACAAAAATAAATACAGGGTATATAGGTGTACATTTTCAGGTTATAGTCTGGCCAATAAATGCCTAACCAGAATCTAAATTTGTCTCATAATTGACAAACAGGTCAAACACCTCACAAACACTCAGCCTGGAATAAGTGGGCTTTTCACATAAAGAAGAAAGTATTAGTATCACACTCACCATGAGAATCATAATCCTTCAGTAGGCTGGCAGCAATGGCATCCAGGCTTTTTAAATAGTTTTCGTAGGCTTTCTGTAATTATAAATGATTACATACTTTCTGAACATGAAAAAAAAATACAAAAGAGCTGTACAGCCCGCTTGTTTTTCAACGCTTATACTAACATCACACTAGTGTTGACTAGACAGTTTGTCAGTCTTGACAACAATGAGAGCAGAGCAATACTGGTGACACTGTACCCACCAATGCAAACGACCCTCTGCTACGTTGTTTACTTAACAGGAAGACACATGCCCTGCGAAGTTTATTAGCACTACGAAATGGAAACAGTGGAAATTTTATTACATGAGGACAAAATAAAACAACACAAACAAGCACTACTTGTGTCATTTTCTTTTGTCCTTATGTAAAAAATTTGCGCTGCTTCCATTTTGTAATGTAAAACCACCTAGCCCAAAGCTTCACAGCACATTCATGCACAGCAAAAAAATTATCTACGATGTAATCCGTGGTGTACTTCTCTAGTGCCCCTGAGCATGCATATGCATGCCCCACAAAATTAAGAAGAAAAATAAAATGTTATCAGCTCATAAAAGGCACCGTTTGCAAACGATGGAGCTTCGCAAATAATGAAGGTGCCCTGAAGTAGTGAATAGCGTGGCAAACAATGGTTTCATTGTCAAGGGCTGTGTGTGCACTTGCACTTGCCGATCTTGTTGCTTACTATTACAAGGTAATGATATGTGATTTGGTCAATGCTTATGCAATATCAAAAACTTGAGAGACTATGGATATACAATACTATAAAATTATTGGATGGAAATGAAACATAATTTAATTGGATGAGTGAAATAGCTTTCTAAATAAAGAAGTAATTAGTCAAATATGCCACAATAGTAATGCTTGCATTTTTATTGTTGAACTTGGAATTAAGAAGAATACACATATAATAAGTTATTTCACAAAGACTTAGGCAGATGTTTTAAGATGGCAGAATGATGCTCATAACAGACATCATAAAAATAAATTGCTGCAGTTATTACCAGCACTTAAAAAAAGACCAACAGTACTGTGCATGTAGTGCTCATCCGCCAGCCCGTTATCTGTACTTTTTGTATACTTGGCATTATGTTATTGTAAGGCCACCTCTACATCCTTCGCTTCATCTCCTCTGCATGGCGAAATGAAACAATTCTTTGTAAACTAAGAACACATTCCATTGAGAGAACAGGAGTAAGGGCATCGTGCAGTGAGGAGTGGGAGCAGAGCACTGAGAGCAGGGCCATTCGATCTCCCCGATGGAATGCTGCATGCTTCTAAAGAGCAGGGGAGAAGGTGACGAGTTCAGAGAAATATACCATGTGATCAAAACATTCGAAGCCCCCATATTCCCTGTGGGGCAGCAGCAAAATATGCATGCAATTTGTCAGTCGCATATTTGCCATTATCTCAATTGGCAGTTACATAGTATGTTTGCGCAGCAATGCATCCACCAAACGTTACTCCGTACACTTAGTAGCTATCATCGATGCTACCATCAAACTACACGTGGTTGCTAAACATTTGCCACTAGCGCTCGATGGCCAAAAATTAAAAAATAAAGAAAATGTGACGTTTAAAAGCCATGCGAGTCATCATACTGCGCCTACTCCACATTTCCGGTGACAGCACTACAAACTCGTCCTGCCTGCTCTTGGAGCAGTAAAAGCGCTCTTGCCCTACCACTGGATGACAGCGCTTCTGCACCTGTTTGACCACTGAAACACCCCAGCTCTGAAAAGACCACTTTCAGCATGCTTTCGAGTGCTCCTGTTCTCTCAATGGAATTTGCCATAATAGCAACTGAACTCATCTGTTTGAGACATGTTCATGTGAAAGCTGGCTATCACGTAGCTGTGGTTCTTGACAATTGGTGCAATATTTTGTGCACTATGTAGGTGCTTACAGTGGTGACATCTGTGCATGTATTTCAAAGGCTATAAAAGTCAATACTGCAGCAGACTAATATAACAATGTGTGTATCCCAAAAGAAGTTTTTGTTGAAATTGCGAGGTTCCCTGCAAAGGCCCACTGAAGCCACAGTTACACAGTTATCAAGTTAAGAGCTGAAAAAGTCACACAAGGTCAATAATTTTAATACAATGCTTTCTTTAGCTTTACATTAAAAATACTTAACATGTATGTAATTGAATAAAGAACTTTCAATATTACAATCATGAGAAACAAAATGAAGAAACACTACAGGCTAATTACTACAGCTGGACCAATTAAACTTTTTCCCTTCATGCAACCATCTTCATCTTATGGCAGATTTCTATAGTAGTGGTCAGTCATGCCAATTAATTGAGCCTCACTGCAATATGCTAGCTTCCTAGTTAGCTCGGAAGACAGATTCAAGGTCATTGAATGCAGTAGCTTCAGGTTCAATTCCTGGACTGAGGTTGCATGAACACCTTGTTTTCACTAAATTTGTTAATTCGTGATTTGCTGGGCTATGCACTTCACCGAGTGATACTCGCTAATGAAAAAGTGGTGCTTGGAAAACCACGAGAAAGCACGGCATACATTCTGAAAGTGTGATGGTTGTGTGATCTACATCCTGGACCAGAAAAAAAATTTAACTGCAAAGCTTTCTTTACAAGAAACTAATAGATTGCTTTTGTAGCCTCGCACTACAGTCTAATGCATGACCTTAACAGTTTTTGCGCAAGCACACGAAGGCAAAGAAGGAAAACACATGGACAATTGCAATATTTATTTGCACTCATCCACATGTTTCTCTTTTTCGTCTCCGTGTGCTGCACAAATACTATTAAGATAAGTTCGTTCCAACTAGGCTGAATGGCAGTATCGTTTATAAAGTATGACAATTTTCCTTTTCAGTTACTTAGCAATCTAAATTCAACTGTCGTACACAAGAAAGGTGAAAAAATGCATTATAGACCAATATACTGGCAATTTTTAAATACTGTAAAACAACAACAAAAAAAGCTACCAGTGCTGCTGACACTGAATTAAGTCATCACCTGTAGCACCTTGATACTAACTCAAAGCACAAGCATTCTCAAATTCTGGCTTCATTGGAATCTAACTGTGGAAGCCACTATTTGAACTTTTAGCATTCTGGGAGCAGCAGAACTCCGAGCCATCATTCACTACCCAGATCTAAAACATTAACAAGATTTGCAAACTGCAACTGCTCAATGTGCACCACACTGAAATACATACAGTACCGTTCAATGTTAAAAGGAACACTCGAATTAATGTTATTAATATTGCTGGCCCTGTAGCAGCAAGGGGATATGGAAACAATCTTCATGCATCTCACTATCCTGTCAAGAAGAGTCAGAACTCTCAAGCAGCAGTAATCTTGTGCAAATCAAAGCCACTATCCTTCTGTAAAACAGAGAAATGTAAACACGCTGTGCAGGCAGGTGTTCCCTTTAATAGTGGACCCGTCTGTACATAGAGCAATTTTGAAATTGTAAATAGTGAATTTAGAAGAAAAGTTGGCAATATTTGTCTTTCAAATAAATTTTCACAAAGTATTAAACACTGAATTTTGATTTGGATTCTGGAACAAGGACTGCCCAAGAAAGTTCAAAGAAAGTTTAGGCTACTATAAACAGATCATACAGGTGAATATTCACAAATGCATGACAAGCATGCTAAACTGCTAAAAAAACTCAAATTTCTATGAAAGAAGTGACCTTTACTCTTTTATATAAATATGAATACACTGCTAAGTGAGTGGGTAAAAGAAATATTAAATAAATAACATGTCCCAGTAGATCTCAAGTAATTCAGCAGCTGTTGCTTATGCAAAAGAATTCCTATAAACATATAACATACTTCCAACACCATTATATAAAACATAACATTATCAGCTTATATGAACTGATAATAGCTACACAACTGCTTCTTTAATTTGTTAAAATTGCCTTTAATATCAGTGTTGAAACAGTTATGCTGCTTCATTAAATACATGTTATACATTAAATACATGTTGTCATTAAATACATGTTTCAAGTTTCACCTAAGGTTAAAACAAAAAGGCATTTGTAGAAATCTGAATGTCATCACAGTATCGTTAAGTATTCTGGTAACCCAAGTGAGAACAAACACAAAAAAAAGACACACACGCCCCCATTTTATTGTGTCTGTGTACTTGCTTATGTTGCTAGAGTGTCCGTACCAACAAGCCCACAATTCAACCTTCATCTTGCATAAATAAAAACGCAGACTGGCAGTAAATGGACTGAATAAGTTTCCACTAAAACTTCAATCATGACCATCAATAATTATATAAACCCCATGCAGAACTATAAGAGAACTTAAGGACAATGATGCCAAGAGAAGTTTAGGGATATTATTACAAGCAAATGTAAATGTAGAAAACGAAAAGTGGACGAAAAGATAACTTGCCACCAGCAGGATCCGAACATGCGAGCTTCAAATAACGTGCCCGATGCTCTACCACTGAGCCACAGTGGCAGTCATCCCTCCGTCGACTTTATAGGGTATATATGTTCATTTAAACATGGAAGCATCAGTCAGCACCACCTGTTGCCATTGTGGCTAGTGTGAAACACTGTTTTGCCTGTTGGCGTCATGCAGCACATGATCTTATTACGAGCTGGCAGCTGACCAACCATCTCTCGCATACTACCTGAAGGCATCAAGTCTGCCAGAATGAGAGCCTCACTATAAATGAAGGAAAGAAGTGTACATTTAAGGGCTCATTTTCTTTATTAGACACACTTATGATGAGAACAAGTAACAGACAATGACGCCAAGGAAAGTATAGGGGAAATTATTAGAAGCAATTATAATTTGAATGTGAAGAGAGAACAGTGGACGAAAAGATAACTTGCCACCAGCAGGATCCAAACCTGCGACCTTCGAATAATGCGTCTGATGTTCTACCACTGAGCTACGGTCATCCCGCCATCCACTTTACAGGGTATATGTGTTCACTGAAACATGGAAGCATCAGTCAGCACCACCTGTGAGCTATTAGTCAGCTGCTAGCCCGTAATAAGATCAAAAGCTACGTGATGCAGACAGGCAAAAAGTGTTCCACACTCACCGCAATGGCAACAGGCAGCGCTTTGTAAGTTATCTTTTTGTCCACTTTTTTTTTCTTCACATTTACACTACGATTGCCCCTTCTAATAATATCCCCTAAACTTCTCTTGGCATCACTGTCTGCTAGTTTTCATTAATATTGTGTCTAACAATGAAAACAAGCCCTTAAACTTACACTTCTTTCCTTAATGCAACATTAATTAGCCCGGTCTCATACTCAACAGCTAAATATATCAACTTAAGCGTGTGCAGCGTTCCCTTTCATGGGGGATGATCGAGGGTTCATCACAGTGCCAGCCTATCAAGTTAACGTAAGAGGTAGCTAGACTTTGCCCTCCACCTTCCTCTTGTGCGGAACGCCTACGTGTGTCTCATCCGGCCTTCCTTGTTCAGTATTTAGATCTGCAACTTTGTCTCAACAGAATTTGGGTGTCCATGGCTCACACACTTACCCCCCCCCCCCCACACACACACACACACGCGCGCACACTGTGTGTGCTGCATTTATGTCTAACGTGATTACCCGGTGGACCTCAGATTTGGCGCAAAACTAGAAATATTGCGTAGTAGCCGAAACTAACTCTTTATCGAATTAATAGAATTCACCACCCCGAAGGCAAGCGTGCGGAGCTATTCTATAAATTTTATAATTGAAGAAATGGCATACTGACAAGCGGTATGGTTTGTCAGTATGCCATTTCTGCATTAATAAAATTTATAGCATAGCTCTGCACGCTTGCCTTCAGGGTGGTGAATCGCATTAATAGAATTCAACACCCCGAAGGCAAGCGTGCGGAGCTATGCTATAAATTTTATTAATGCAGAAATGGCATAACATTTTCCCATCAGCTGCTAGCCGAGAAATTACAAATCTGATGCTACAAGCTCACGTCAATCGTTTGCGTCGCAGCCCTCAGCTGTCGCGCAGCTCGGACCGTACTGGGCACCAACGCAAAACAGACATCTACAGAAACAGCTGCTTACAACAGCGCGAAGAGAGTCCGTGTTATCAAAATGACACCGCAGACAGCTGCCACATCCAAGCGTTGCGATCAACCTGTTCGCGTTGTCATAAAGAATTGCCCTGAAGAGCACACACGTAAGTATCGCCATCCCAGAATGACAGCTTACCTCATACTCATTTCTGTCGTCTTGGCCAAGAGCCTGAGACACCAGTTCCAAAACTAAACCAAACCGATCGCACATTTTGGTCGCGTGCGGCTGGTGCACGCGCGACTTTTAGCTCGGAACTAGCGGGAACGTAGGCTACGTAAACCCTTATGCGACGCACCACGTTCAAACGCAGGAAACACGAGTCCAATGGCCGGGGGAAGCCAGGTGTTTTCACGCAACAGGCAGCGCGACGTCCGATCGTCTGCTGGTGCGTGCGCGGACACCGCCCACGCGCCCGGCAATCTGCGAGCAATCACGAAATGTTGTGTGACGTCACAAGAGCAGAAACCACGGCAACGGCATGGCAACGGAGCGAACACCACGCTGCCGACTCCACCTTTTCACCCACACCGTGTTTTCACCAGACGTCGCTAGCGGACGGATGCGCGTTTACGACTCGTAGCTCACACCAGCAGAAACGCAGAACTCAAACGTATTACGACCGTTTCCGACACGAGAACGCGGTAACGCAACGACCAATAAATCGGCACGTTCTTGTTAGCGGTCCGCACAGGCTTGCAATGCTGAACAACGGCGTTTTCAGCGACGCCCAAAACGACAAATCGGCCGCAGCATAAATCTGCTCTGGACCAGGCCTCGGTGGGGCCGTGGCAGCAACGGCGAAAAATGGCGGATAAATCTGAAGCTGTATTGGATGGCAAAGCTCTACATGCATTGCGCGTCGTCGACCTCAGATCAGCGCTCGAGAAGCGCGGACTACCAAAAAGTGGAAGCAAGAAGGAACTCGTTGAGCGCTTGAAACTGGTAAGTTGTGCAGTCTCGGTCAGCGAAGCTGGCTCCAGTGCGCGCTTAAACCTGCAAAGGCTGGGCCGAGGACAGCAACGTCGCTGCTGCTACGAGTGATTCAACGCGAGGCACCGTCTGCTGCAGTCGTCACTGCAGCTTTGCTTGCTTCAGCGACGTGCCACCTTCACTGGAATGCCACCAACCCTCAAAAGCACGTGCAGCGAGCCTCTGTAAACAAACACACGGCGCCTCCTCATAACGTAACTCGGTTTAGTTTTCGCTATGTTATTACGCTCGCACTTGCTTGAGGCTCGACTGTCAGTTGAAGATGCAAAATACGTGAAGCTGCTTTTTAGGCTGTCATAGGCTTGCAGGCATTTAAATTATCACTCATATATCAGTAACTTATTACCTCCCTTCAGATGGGTCGGCTGCCTGGTAGAGGCGAAAGTGTATCTGTGGGCATTACTAGGTGTAAACTGAATGTTGCGCGTTGCATTGCACGTACAAATTGAACGTATCTATTATTTCTTTTCGCAGCAACTTAAGATAGAGAAACTGCACGAGGAGTCTTTGAAGGCTGAAGGTGAGTTACATGTGCCTCAGCAATAACTCTACATGGTGTATAATGCATATTACCACTTCCTTTTCTTACAGATCGGGTGCCCAACCTTGACGTAAGTGAACAATTCTTACGCTGCAGTTGCATGCTACGATAGCCTGCTTTGGCCGAGTTGGTTCGTATTAAATAACGTAGGTACAGTGCAACAAATTTGATTCCTAATCAGTGATACAGAGACCAGAAATCGTGTGTCGCCCTCATCTTGGGCAGAGCGTGAAAACACAACTGCCTATATCATCCGTATCTTGTGTCTCTGACCTAGTCTTGCATTAGCAGTAAACATTTCATACCTGCTTGCAGGACGACACATTTGTCTACTGCCTTAATCTTGTACTTATGCTGCACTATTTTTCCTGTCACATTTGCAGCTCCAAGATGAGCTGACTGGTCAGAATGACTTTGTCAGGCAGTACTTGGCGGCACAACAACAAACGTATTCTCTGCAGCTTAAAGAGCGCAGACAGGCTGAAATGCGTAAGTAGGATGTGCATTTGTTTCATTGGTTTCACTGCATCTGCACAAGAAGTGAATTTACTCTTGCTTTTGTCATAAATATTAAGATGAATCTTGCACTGTAGAAAAGTTTGTACTCCCTGCTCTGCTTTAGTATTGACACTACAAATGTAATTTGCACGTCATGTCAGCAAACTCATATCAAGCCTTTAAAATTTATTTACATGTATGCTATGAGAATGTAACTACCTAAGTACTGTTTACTTTCCTCTTGCATTTTTCAGGTCATTAGTTAGCATTATTTAATGAAAATGTAGTGCAGCATAGCTATTTGGCTTAGTTGAAAACTGTTCATGCCTAAGAAGCGAGGGAAAAGGAAACAAAACAAGAAACATGGGACAGGCACTTTTTGACAATGAAGTTTATTAATGGAAAACTTTTTCATTAATAAAACTAATTGCTAGACAATGCCTGTCAGGTGCCTTTGTCCCCATGTATTTTCCCAACACTCCGTAAGCGTGAACTTTGACGTGTTCCGTTGCATGCAGACTTTCCCTATTCAGCCATTGTACAGTATAATGAGAAATATTCAAACTTATTTTCATGCATACAGCTCCTAAGCTTAAAATATTTGAGGGGGCTGCATAGAAATAATTCAATATCTGAGAAAAACACCACATGCTTAGACAGTTGGCATGCAGTGACATCAGTGCCCACAAACATGACGCTGACAAATAAAATGATCAGCGCTTGCACAGAGACTGAATGCATCAATAGGCTTCAGTAACAGTGATGGATGACCCTCTATTGTCCTGGCACCCACGTAAAGCGAGATAGCTCGACTGTTGGTGTATTGAAACGAACAAAGCGAACAAAGCCTCGAGATACAACATTGGTAATGCATGGCAATCCTCGAAGCTCCTTCAGCCCCTTTCCTGTTGACCGATTGTGTAAAGTGCGAGGCTTTGGCAGCATATAGATATCTAATGAAAATGATGGGTGCAGGTCATATCTGCTTGCAGCCTGTTCATTTGTTTTGTTTGGATGCAGTATAGATCATTTGTTGGGCAGCCTGTTTAGAGCGGTAATGTTGGCACGGAAGCACCTAGTTGCAAATTTTTTCTAATCCCGTGCACTTTCTTTATAGCCTAGAAAAATTTAAATCAAAGCAGCTACTTTCCTAGCAAGAAACTATTTGAATCGTTGGGTATGTACTGTGCAACACAGCACAGCAAATAGAAAAGAGACTCACAATTGCATTGTGTGTCCATTCTCTATCTGCTATTCTATCTGTTGCAGTGCGAGTCCTGAAAGATGTAGCCTTACCAAGAACCAATTAGCCCAAATACAGGCCCTCGATCAGAAGATTTAGACATATTTTCTATACTCATGGGCTTTGCACAATTTCCATTGAAAATTTCATATTCACATGGAAAACAAATTTTTTTCCTTGCTCATCTCATGACCATGTCAATAATATTGATACGAAGTGTCAATATTATTGACAAACAGGGGAAGCGTGGGTAGAAAAAGAAGACGAAATTGATTCTACTGCGATTCCCCTGAGTGGGTACGAGCCATGGGGAGGAATGGTGATCATCATCATACTGTGATCGCGGACTCGGTGGGCATTAAAACCCCACCCCTTAAGTTACCTTATCATACGTAACAATTTGGTGGAAGGTGCTGGGTAGGATGAACCCAAAGACGGGAGCTTCACTACCAGGACTTCGGCGCAACCGTCGCCTCGCCGGACTTCCACTTTCGCCGATCGTAATGGCCCGGAAGCAGCCATCCAACGCTTCGAGGCCAACTCCTATGGGTTCCGTGCTGTACTACAGAGTGCCACCAAACTTTGGCGGGACCTCAGGAGAAGACGTCGACGTGTGGCTCAAGAACTACAAGCGGGTGAGCAAAATCAATGGCTGGGACTCGAACGAACAGCTCAATCATGTTGTATTCTATTCTCGTTAACTGACACCGCCCTCATGTGGTACGAGAACCACGAGGACATGTTCACGACTTGGGATCCTTTTGTTGAAGAAGTGCAGAAGTGCTTCGGTGATTTGGACGCAAAGAAAAAACGCGCAGAGCAAACATTGTCTTAGAGGGTACAGCTTCCAGGAGAAACATGTACGATGTACATTGAAGAAATATTGCAGCTGTGCAACATCGTGAATGCAAGGATGTCTGAAGAAGACAAGGTTGGACATGTTCTCAAGGGTATAGCCGAAGACGTGTACAATTTCTTCATTGAGAAAGACTACTTGAAATCCGTGTCCGACGTGACGAAGCACTGTCGTACCTTTGAATCCCTCAAGATCCGACGAATTTCTCCGAAATTCGGCCGCCTGTCCAACGTCTCCACTGTAGCTAGTGTAAAAAAAAGTGCCGCCTAACGACCTTGCTTTGACCATGCGGCAGGTCGTCAGAGAAGAGCTGCTTCGATGTCAGCAGACCTATCATCGCCTCAGCGATTTCCAGGATGCGTACGCAAGCGAACCAGAACGTGTGCGGACTCCTGTTTCTCTTCCACCATGGCAACCATCGATCAACGCAGCAGACGCTTATGAATATTAAGGCACACGGCAGGCTGGATTCCCACGTAAACCACCTCCAAACTACGAACAAAGTTTTCGCTCGCCTGTTTACCCAACATCGCCTGCCTACGGTGCCCCTCAAGGGCGGCACCACTATTCCATGCCTTCCGAGAGGAGTCGCTACTCTGAGCAGCCACGTGCCCCTCGACCAAATCCGGTGTGCTACAACTGTGGCGTCCCTGGTCACATTGCACGTTTTTGTGACCACCGCCCATAACAGCGACAGTCTTGGTACATGTCTCACCAACCTTCCGACCATGCGCTCTCCACGTCACTGAAACCACGCGCACCTATTGGTCATGCTACCCCCCGCCGGCCTCTGATCGAAGTTTGATGCCACCACCAGTTCCATGTGCTCCACAATTGCCGTCGCCACGGCGACGCGCACGGACATCTCCGCCGGAAAACTAGTCGGTGGCCGCGAGATCACAGGTGCTATCTACAGATATACCCCCGTCAGCGTTTATGTTGAAGAATAAAGTTCATGTAGTTGTCAATAGAGTGGCTACTATGGCACTTGTGAATACCGGCGCCACAGTCTCAGTGATGAGTCAAAATTTTAACAACCTGCTAGGACCAAAAGTGATGTTCCGCCTGAACCGTGGGGTGACATTTCGTGGTGTAAGTGGTGACGTGTTGTGTCCGGTAGGATATTATACTGTGGACGTCCCGCTGTGTGGCAAGGTGTGTTGCACAGAATTTGCAGTTATTCCGCGGTCTACAGATGACGTTATCTTGGGTATCGACTTCTTGTGTCAGTGTGGGTCAACTGTAGACTGCAGAAGTGGGCACCTTTCTATACATGGTACTTTCCCAACGGCGCTCTTGGAAAATTCTTGTGCGGAGGAATGCATCTTTTTCGTCTCCGTGGACACAGTGGTTCCTGCATTTTCTGCTGTGTGTGTTCCCGTGACATGTTCCAGTAAGAACTGTGGCAGTTTGACACCACGCTCGAACAGATTCCCTTGGCATGCCTGAAAAAGAACATCCCCATCCCCCACTGTATAGTGTCAGTCCTTGATAGACGGGCAGGTCTGTTTACAATGAAAAGTTCCATGGAGCTTGCAGTTTTGCCAGGCGGCATGAAACTTGCAGTATTTAGACCCGAATCATCTATGACGCTGGTTGCGCTTGTTGATGCTACAAGCCAAAATGAACATCTAGGCTTAGAAGGTTCAGAGGATGCCCAATTACTACAAATGGTCAGCAAGTCACTTGACCAAAGCGAACGTCATGCACTGCTCAACGTTCTATCTAAGCACTTGAAAGTGTTAAATTTTTCTAAAAACAGCCAAAGGCCCTTAATCCCAGCGTCCCGGATACGTCACCAGGTCCACACCGAGTTGGCGCATCCCATTAGGCAGAAACCTTACCGAGTGGCACCATCGGAGCGCAAGATCATTGACGAGCAAGTTTAAGAAATGCTGGAAAAGGGAATAATACAGGAATCTGCAAGTCTGTGGGCTGCTCCCGTCATTCTAGTGAGGAAGAAAGATGGTACGTGGAGATTTTGCGTTGACTACCGCCAACTTAATTCTGTTACCAAGAAAAACGTCTATCCACTGCCGCGCATCGATGACGCTCTAGACTGCCTGCATTCCGCGTCCTACTTTTCATCCGTTGACCTGAGATCAGCTTACTGGCAAATTACGATGCACGCAGCTGACAAAGAAAAGACGGCATTCGTTACGATCGATGGACTTAACGAGTTCAACGTTATGCCATTCGGATTATGTAATGCTCCTGCCACATTCGAAAAATTTATGGACTCTGTATTGTGTGGTTTAAAATGGCATATATGCATGTGTTACCTTGACGATGTCGTAATTTTTAGACATACGTTTGAGGAGCACATCACCCGCCGAGACCTCGTGCTCAACTGCATTGAAAAAGCTGGCCTTGTATTGAATTAAAAAAAGTGGCACTTTGGCGAGTGACAGACATTGGTGTTGGGACATCTCGTCGACAAAGGTGGCATTAGACCTGACCCACAAAAGACAGCGGTTGTTGAATCGTTCAAGCGGCCTAAATCTGTGAAACAACTGCATAGCTTCATCGGGCTGTGCTCGTATTTCCGCCAGTTCATACCCAGGTTTGCGGATGTCGTTCACCCCCTGATGAGCCTTCTACACAAGAACAGCCCGTTTCAGTGGACCTCCAAGTGTGACGCCGCTTTTCACCAGCTGAAGTGTTTAACTTCGCAGCCAATACTTCGGCACTTCAATCCTTCGTCGCCTACGGAAATTCACACAGACGCAAGTGGCATCGGTATCGGTGCCGTTCTCGTTCAGCGTTCTGGCAAGAAGGAAGATGTTGTGGCGTACGCAAGTCGTCCTTTAAGCAAGCCTGAACGCAACTACACAGTGACCGAACAGGAATGCCTAGCGGTAGTATTTGCCGTACAACGGTTTCGCTCATACA